TAAAATTAAAAAAGTGAAAAAGCATAATAGGACCCCTTTAAGGTGCTTCTTGTTAATAGACAACACTGGTGTGGGATATATCTGGAACAATCATTTTCTCTCTTTGCTGATTATATTTGTGATTCCACTGAATCAGACTTTCTTTATGGTCTTCAGATCAGTTCTTCCACCTCATGTCTTTCTGCTGTGTTTTGATTCTGCTGTGATTCGTCAGCTGAAGTTTGTGTGGAATTCACTATATTCTGCATTTGGGAAAAGATATGTAATTTAAACAATATTTATGTAACATCCTCATGCTTTTGGAAAATCTTGTAATTTAATTAAAGAGTCTTCTGATGTTGCAGGTCATTGGATCCCAAAGCATTGCAACCTTATAAAGGATACTAACCTGCACATATTTTGCGATCTCTGTAAAGTCAGAACAGAGAGAGAAAATATATTAGTGGAACTGACAAATCTAATCATTCTCTGTTAATATAAAAAGAAAAACCTACTTATTAATCTTCAATGACTTCTTATAATATCAATAAATAATGTGATGTATCTTTCTAAATGATTTCAATAGTAACTATTTTTAATGTTTACTTTAACTACAACACAATGTTTAAAAAAATCAACCCATTTCAACTTGAAAACTTTGAAATTAATTACTAACATGCATGGAAAGACCCCTGATATGGTCCCATCAATGATCTGAACAAACCAGGGAGCCAATAAATATAAAGACTCATACATGTTCACTATGTGCAGCTCTCACTGACATTCAGCAGATGGTTGAACTCTAGGATTTTAGGGGGATTTTAAGCATTGTGACAGCAAATACTCACTAGATGGAAATAATGCTGAAATCAGCACAGATACGACAAAGTAAGATTCAGAAGGAAAGACAATGAATCTCAGATCCCCAACTGTACGATTACCATTCACTGAAAAAAAGAGTGGATAAATTTAAATCTTAAATATTATAATCACTGTTTCAAGAAATTAATGCAATCTTACCAGTGTTTTATTACAGAATAATTATTCCAGGTAAATACAGATGAACTCATTATAGTTTGATTAAACAAGTTTGAGAAGGTGATTTCTGACTCTGACTTTAATGTATTTATACAATTAATTATTCATGATTAAAATGATAAAAAGTTGTTTTAATACGTTTAAAGTATATATTTACTTTGACCTAGATTTATTATGGATTATTTTTCTCAAATTAATTGTATAACATATTGTATAATAAAGTGTACGTTGTTCACTCACCTGCTTTCAGTATCAGTTCAGTCATCAGTGTCACAGAGTTCAGTAAAACAACACCAACTGATCCAAACACATAGACAGGAGCAAAACGATGAAGATCTGTAATGCAATTGTAGACTTTGAAGTTTAAACAAAAAGCTAAATGATTGTATAATTTTTCTTTGAGGGACATAAAGTGTTCATATTAGCAACATTAAAGTTTAATTCATATTTTATTATTCATATGTTATTAAAACAACTATAGACATACACAGAAAAAAACTAACAACTAAAAACCCATAATAGTATCTCATCCCTATTTCTTCACACTAATTTGCTTAAAGGGGTCCTATTATGCTCTTTTACAAAGTCTTGATTTTGTTTTGGGGGTGTACTAGAACATGCTCTCATGCTTGGTGGTTCGAAAAACGCATTATTTTTCACATAATTTACATTATTAAAATACCTTTCTCCCCAGCCTGCCACAAACGGCTCGATTAGTTCCGGCTTTGATGAAGGTCTGCCTTCCGAAAAACAAAATGTGTTGTGATTGGTTAGCTGTCCCAGTGCGTTGTGATTGGCGAACAGCTTAGACGGTGTTTCAGTACTGCCACGCCCCCTTGCTCCG